ATGCTGGGGCGGATAGGGCATCCCACAGGAGCATGGGGGGCCCCCTGCATTCTCAGTGAACCCTTGACAGGTCCACTGCCAAGTGTACTGGGGGCCCCCCCGCAGCCCTCCGGCTCGCCGATCAGCCGCGGGGGGACCCTGGGTGCTCCCCAAGACCCAGAAGGCACCAATCAGCCAGCCAGGTGCTCCCTGGTGGACCCAGAAGTGCTTCAGGTACACTTCCGGGTCTGCCTCCAAGCATACTGGGGACCCCGCCCCGCGCTCCTGTGGGACGCTCCATCTGCCCCAGCATCTCAGCATTCGTGAGCTGCCTGGTACCTTGAGGTATGTAGAAAAAACTTTTAAAGCTGTGTCTATGTCCAAATAGTCCAATCTTTCTGAATCTCCCCAAATCTATTCAGAGGGTTCCAATTTGATTCAATGAGATTAAAGGATCTCCCGATTCGGATTCATAGGCAAATTGAATTAAATCAGCGACTGAAGCCTTCCCCAACCCTAACAGACAGTTGCATGCCTCTCCTAGACACAAGCAGTTAAAGGAAGAATGTTGAAAAGTGAAAGAATTTGTTGGACCTCTATGACTATTTCTGGTGGAAATGTAGTGTTGTTCTTAGGGTAGAAGACCAAGTATGGAGGGCCAACCAATATAATGTTTTTCTCTCCTATGCTCTCTTTGCTGAAGACAAGGCCAGAAGGAATGAGGTTTTAACTGATAAGCATGACAGAAAGTAAGTTACCATTATCTTAAAGCCAACAAGAAGAACAGGTTGAGTTCCTACAGTGGGATTAGATTCCTAACAGATAAGAACCCACTATGTCAACCCTTCAGTAATTTCAGTATGGTTGCATGAGAAGAGAGCACTGATCTCCTCCTAAGTGTTAAGATTGCTATTCAGAAGTACCTTGATTGGAGTTTAGCACAAGATTATTGTGTTTAATCCAGTGAGCAAGGAGCCTAGAATTTCAGGCATCAGTTCCTCACGTGTTCTGAAGGACTTTCCATAGTAGCCAGAAGAAAATGTTGACCCCTTCAGAACTCCAAGTCAGCCTCTCTACGATGTAACAAAATGTCATGGATGAACAAGGACTAGGGGTTTTCTGTGTTTCACAGACTTCCAGCAGTCACGCTGTGAGGTAAAAAGATTTCAGGTCTGGGTGAAGAAGCTTTCCTTCAATCTGAAACAGCAGAAAAGAAGGCAGGACTTTGGTTCTGAAGAAGAGTATTACGCGATGTACAAGAACTGATCAACCAAGCTGGAGCTATCAAAATCAAAGTTTGGCCAAGTCTTCTCTGGTCATGTGGATCACTATGGGGAATCAAAGAGAGTGAAGAATAAACAAAAGACTACCCACCTATATGACAGGGAAAGCATTAGCCAGGCACCCTGGGTTCCAGCCTCCTCCAAAACAGAAAATCATACGCTTCTGGATAATTGATGTCACAAACGGATCCAATTATGTATAACCTCAACACAACAGGCTGTCCTGGAACACAGAGTTTGGTCTCCCATTCACAGTTGGGGGAAAAGCACCTGCTAAGCCAGTGGGGGTTGGCAGGGCACAAAGTTTGGCAGGCAAGCCACAGATTAGCCCCACACTTTACCCCAAGTGCCACTCCAATCCGCTACCCCTGCCTCATCTACTGCTCTGTTTTCTGTTCTTTTGCAAGTCTCATGACTATCATCACCTCTAGAAATCTGACATGCATCCCTGCATCCTGCCAAGCCCATTCATCTGAGCTTTTCAGCCACAATAACAAAGCATTTATTCATCTCCATAGTCTCAGATGGTAGGAAAAGTGCAAAGGGGCTACTCTGCAGATGTTTACAGAGTCTTCCTGCCATTTCAAGGACATCAGGAACAGTGGGAATATGCAGAGAGGCATATATAGCTAGTGTTTGCCCAGGCATACAGTGCAGCCACCAACCCTGCAGGGACTGATGATACAGGCCAAGATGCCTTGTTACAAAAGTACACAATGCAGGTACACCAGTAAGGAGAACTAAGTTTTCACTGTAGCGACTGGGTTTGATTTCAGTTATGAGGTTGAGGATGCCGAAGCATGCATCCTGAAGGTCAAGAGATATTGAACCATTCCATTGAGTCCAAAATGGGGGAAGGGAAGGTACTATGAAGGCAAGATTGTCCATTCCAAACCTTAGCATGCATATAAACTGTAATCCCAGATGGGTTGCCATCCTTTTTTTCTTTTCCAGAATCAAAAAGCAATGACTGACAACCCTGTTCCCTGATGTTGGCATGCAGACTCTTTTATTGCCCTTAGGGCAGGGGTTCGCACACTGTGGGTCATGATCCCCCGGGGGTCATGAGCAACTTAAAAGGAGGCCACAAACTTCCCAGGGGGTACGCGCAGCAGCACAGAGAAGCAGTGCGTGGCAGTGGCATGAAGTGGTTGCAGCGGCAGCCATGTGCAAGCTCCCCATCCCCTGCTACTGCCATCCAGCATTCGGGGTCACAGCATCACAAATTTTGAGAACCCCTGCCTTGGGGAAATAAGTGACATGATCCTTAAAAAGGGACTGGGAAAGGAAGTTGGGAGTTGGTACCTTGTGAAACTATAGTAGCGGTAAGCAACTTATCCAAGATAACAGACCATATGCACCTGTAGTGAGTTGAGCAATTCCCAAGAGACAGTGCTAGGGGCTCCATATTCATAGAGGTTGGCTGAAGAGAACCAACATGCACCTGACACTTCCTTGGCTTGGAACATGAGGACTCTCACAATCACAGAAGTTTAGGGCTGGAAGGGACCTCATGAGATCATTGGGGCCAGCCCCCCTGATCTGGGCAGGAAAGACTGCTGGGGTCAAATAATCCTGGCAAGCTGTGCATTCAGTCTCCTTTTGAAGGTCTCCAGGGTAGGTATATGCACCACCCCCACTGGGAGTCTATTTCAGAGTCTGGTCACACAAATCAGGAAGAAGTTTTTCCTTATATCCAGTTTGAAACCGTCTTCTAGGAGTTTATGACTGCTGCTACTCCTGGTTTTCCCATGGGATGCTTTGGTGAATAGTTACTTAGCCCCTAATGCTCTCCCCTGATATATCTGTAAGCTGCCACCAAATCCCCCCAAAGTTCTCTTTTCTAGGCTGAACAGTCCCCTATCTGTCAGCCTTTCCTCATCAGGCTTGCTCTTCAGGCCTCAAATCACATGCATACTGGCATAAGACCACCACTGGCCAAAACTCTAAGCCGGAGCACAAGGGACATGAACAACAGCAGAATGTGCATTTGGACAATGATTCAAAGGAAAAAAGAGATCCCCCCAATTTTCTCTGTAATTGTACCTCCCCTAAGATGACAATGTGAGCAAAAGCAGTGTGCTGCAACTAGTCCTGGATCAATATAGCTACATCTAACACTAAGTCACTATGTGTATAGTAAAAATGGCAGCACAGTGCAGTGTTGAGCACAACATAAAAACTGGCAAGTTTCCCTAGGCTATGGAATAATGAACAATTTACTGTGGGATAAAAGGGGTGGAGCTTTCCCATGGCTGTTGCTCTGCAGTATTGGCTTGGGAGTATGCTTTTATTCCAAGGTAAACAGAAACTAACCCACAGTCATTTATTCTTCTTACATTGAGGGCTACATCTTCTATTCAATTTTCTCTTACTGCAGAGTAGGGACACACAAAGGCAGTTACTATGGAGCACACGACATATAGTAGAGCGTTCCCCTCTTTTGCCTCAGGGTATATAGTTCATAGACTATACTATTAGAGACAAATCAGGTGCGTAATTTTGTCTCAGGGCCTAGTAACAGCTAGGGAAGACTGAAGGTAAGGTCTGCATGGGAGTGGTGTGGAATGTAAGCTCTGAAGCTTGAAGCATATGGACCTTGGCAGGGACCGCACTCAGCAGAGCTCCACAAAATTGGCTTAGTTATGAAAGAAATTTAAAAGAACTGAGATTAGATTGATGGAAGGGACAGAGAAAGGAAAGTTCTGGCTGTCCAGTTAGAGGGTGTGGTGTGTGCCATTATACTTGCTGTCCCCAGGCGGCAGAGCAGAATGGAGGGAGTTTTGTATTTTCCTTGCTTCTGGGCTTTGCTAGTTGCCACATAGGACTAGGAAGAAAATTTCCCCCTCCTGTTGCTACGTGTCAGGGTTTTTATTCACCTTTCTCAGGAGCACTGGGTATTGGCTGCAGCCAACATTTGGGATTTTGACTGGGGTAGGCAAATGTTCCTCCTGGGACTAAAACCCAGCTGTTTCCAGTGAGAGGATCTTGCCTCTCCACTCAGAGATGGACCAATCTCCACATTTACCATGTACTTGCATATTTCTCTTTCTATCCTGAACTTTGCAGCTAGCAACTTGTTGGAGTTTTAACCTTCTAAGTAGCTGAAATGAAATAGCCTGACCTTTCCAACACATGTATGAACAAACCTGGAAAATTTCAACCCAGAGACTGATATTTTGTACAATGATAAGCATACAAAAATAACAAATGGATACGATTTTGCAAACGTTATGTTTCGTTTTACAGTTCAGCCAGCCATGAAGGACCAAGTCCCTTCAGAATTCTGAGTCTTCCTTGAAAATGCTGACCACTATTGCCAGAACTTGCTCAGTTTGGCTTTAAAAAGCTGGCAAGGTCACCATACAAAACGGAAGGGCCACAGGAGTCATTCTAGGGGGTTGTCAATTACTACTACGATTCTTACAACTGGCTGTAAGATTAGCACCATAGAAAACCTGAATAGATCAAATGGATTTTCTGCAACTTGATTATAAATTAAATTTAAGCAGAAGTCTCCTGCAGTGATTAAATTTTATTCCCCAAACTTACAACAAAGCAACACAGCCCTTTTTCTCTCTCCCATTATTTTCTCAATAACTAAAGGGGATCATTTTTGGAAGGTATGTTCAGACGTTATGAAATGACTGAAATCTCTTCAAATTAAAGTGATGTTAAACACAAGGATGGCTTAAAAGAACAGAGATTTAAATAATACCCAAATCCCGAGACAGCCTTCTGAAAAAAATGTTAAATGTACTGCACAAGGCAGGTGACAAAAATACAGTGTACAAGTTGTATAGACCGGTGATACTGATAAAGAGGGCGGCAGGTAGAATCAGCATATTAATTTCCACTGATAAGCATAATTACCAACTAACAAAACACAGAATCATGGAATGTTTCCGTAAGAACCAAAAATAATTGTTATTATAGAGAGAGGAAGCCGCACGAATAAACTCTTACAACAGGAATAGACCATTCATTTTCACAAGGAGTTAATCTGACTTTTGGTTACTTTTTTCTCTGACTAGTTGATACTTGTAAACTGGCAAATCCAGGGGAGAAAAACCCACAGAATTTCTTATTCCCATGTTCAAGCTAAGGTAAATCCTTGGTTTCTACTGAGCTTTGGAATGCATGCTTCATGTACCACCCCTCCATCCCCCACACGGGTCCCCAAGGAAATACACACACACGTTTGTACAGCTTCCCCTCTCCCTACCCCTCACAAAGGTTTAAAAGGGAAAATATTTTTAAAAAGATAACTGAAAATGAGCCTCAATCACAGATTTATACAGAGAAAATGAGACAGCTATTCAATTCAAGTCTACTCTGTCGACATTATCCTGCTTAATAAAGTGTTGCTAAGCCAGTGTTATGCGCTGTTCAAAGATAACTGTGGGCAAAATAGCCCTTTGTTCCATGTTCCACATGGCAGCAGAGTTGTTTTGACAGAATACAAGACAGCCAATGTTAGATTTTCTGGCCCAATGTAAGAATCATCACTACAAATAATGCACGTCCCCCTTTTCTAAAACCATTTGCATCTGTGGCATACCAGAGTAAACAAAACCTAATTAGGCTGCATTTTTTGCCTTGCTGCAGGTACCTCAATCAGCTGAAAAAAGACAATTTCACCATATGCCAAACCAATTAGACAGAGAAGTGCCTTATAATACCACTTAAAAGTATTTTCTGCTGATAAAATGATATTCTATATACAAGGTGCGCATACGTACGTCAGCTTCAGTTATCTTCCATTATATAAATGAAATATCATAAATGGTAATAGGCTTTTTGCAAAGTTATGTGAAACTAAAAATAACAAAAGAAATAAAAGCTATTCACACAGCATTGCAAGTCCTAAATACTCTTTAACCATTCTATACCAAGCATTTTAAAATAGGTATGAAAACTGAATTTGTCAGTTTAAGAAATCCAAATTCTACCTGAAAAAAAAAAATCACCAAAAAAAAGCTATTTTTAAATCATTTAAACTTTCTAGTCTTAAATAAAATAATAATTTCTTGTATACCCCTCCTCTTCCCTTATACAGTTAAATGCAAATTCTCCTGTACAGTCGTAGCTTACTGCATACATAGCTGATACGCCACCTACTGCAAAACTGAGCTGACAGTCCATGCATTGCTAGCAGCATTTCCATTCCATCACCGTGCCGGAGCTGAATAAAGGTGCTTTTAAATACCTCTTTTCAAGCAAACAAGAACCGGACAAAGCAGCTGTCTTTTTACTCTGCCTTAGAGAATGGAGCGAAAGATAAACAAAAGAGAAAAGGAATATGAAGAAAGACACAGCAACTCTGAGGGCTCTGATCAAGACAAGAACTGTAAAATGTCTCTGATTACCCTCAATGTTGGTGGATATCTGTATATTACACAGAAGCAAACACTAACCAAGTACCCAGACTCTCTTCTTGAAGGTGTGGTAAATGGAAAAATTCTGTGTCCATTTGATGCAGATGGCCATTACTTCATAGACAGGGATGGACTCCTTTTCAGGCACATTCTGAACTTCCTACGAAATGGAGAACTTCTTCTACCAGAGGGGTTTCGAGAAAATCAACTTTTGGCACAAGAAGCAGATTTTTTTCAGCTCAAGATTTTATCTGATGCAGTGAAATCAAGGTGGGAGAAAGAACAGCTAGCATCCAGAGAGACTACTTTCCTGGAAATAACTGACAGCCACGACCGTTCACAAGGTCTTAGAATCTTCTGTAATGCTCCAGATTTCATAGCCAAAATCAAATCTCGAATTGTGCTAGTATCCAAAAGCAGGCTTGATGGATTTCCAGAGGAGTTTTCAATATCTTCAAATATTATTCAATTTAAATACTTCATAAAGTCTGAAAATGGTACACGACTTGTACTGAAGGAGGACAACACCTTTGTCTGCACCCTGGAAACTCTTAAGTTTGAAGCTATAATGATGGCTTTAAAATGTGGATTTAGACTGCTGACCAGTCTGGATTGTTCCAAAGGGTCAATTGTTCACAGCGATGCACTTCATTTTATCAAGTAATTACAAAGACAAAGGCAACGAGCATGCAGCCAAGTAAACCTCATTTAACTACAGCACCCAGGCATCACAAATAATGTATCTAACTAGCCTTGTACCACAGAGCTCTGCTGCTAATCAATTAATGTGACCTAATGGTATGTAAATTCCATAATAACATTCATCTCTGAGTTATTTGTGCTGAACAAGAATTTTATGCCTAAATTTAATAATAAAAAAAAAATGGCTAAACATTGTAAATCCAAATCAAATACTGCTATTTGCATATGTTTCCTTCATGCTGCCTTTCATCCAGAGAGTGTAGCTGAAACGGTTCTGTGTACTTGTATGACTAACATGCCTACACCTTATTGTTCAGCTGAACAGTGGTGGAAGTATTTTCATTTAATATCCAAGCTTAAAAATGTTTTGCTTATGAAAAAATTCACACTGGATTTTAACTGGAATAAAACATTTCGAGTGTTCATTACAGTTTCTGCAAATCTATTAAAAACAAATTTTACTAAAATGCAATGAGACTAAAAAGGTTTAAAAGGCATCAACTTGATTTTGAAATTAAACACCTATGATTCTACAGCTCACATACTTGAAAACAAATTAGTGACCAAGTTGTGAATTTGATGAGGATTATCAACGAAAATGCCTACACAAAAACTAGCACAGCTTTCTTTTCTTATTCCCCCCATACCTATTATAGGACATACTTGTATTCATTAAGGTAGGTGGAACTTGTTTATTTTAAAATATATATATTTAAAGGTTATTCAAAAGGTTTTGCATACAATGTCAAGCAACAGGTTTTCAATTAATGACATCCTACTATGCTAAAGTTGATGTTTCTCACTAATTACTGCTGTTCACAAAGAGTAGCAAATTAACAGATATATTGCTTTGCACAATGGCTTGCTAATAGTACCTGGAATTTCTAGTTTTGAATAGAACACCTGCTGGTATTTAACCTGCATAAGTGTAAATGGTAAATTAGATGTCTTTCTCCTTTCACACCATCCATACTATTTATTATCTACTCCCTTCTTTCACTGATCTTTATTACAGTATCAAGATATATCTTTCACATGCAACTCATTAAACATGAGGTAGATGCTTGCCGTTCAAAATCCTTGGATTAGACATGACCGTCATGTAAGCAGATGAATATTCACTTCATTCACCTCTTAAGTCAAATGACACTGCACCTACTTATACAAGTTCTGAGTTTGTTCTTTTTAAGTCTGCTATCAGGCATGGCTCAAATTAAATCAAGTTTGAGTCAACTGATGAACTGATGTTGTCCACTTCTATTGCAACATGAATCTGTACTTCAACTAAAATAGGCAACAACTGAGTCTCTCACTGAAGCCAAACTTGTAATACAGACAGCAGTCAGATCGCTGAACAAGAGAATTTTTTTTAGAAAAAAGGAAAAAAGGGGGGGAGGGTACATGATAGTATTGCCAAGTGGGAAACTCTCTGGAATTCCTTTACAAAGTGAGTAACATTACCCCAAACAATGCACTTTTCTACTTAGCCTCTATGTATGGGGGGAATAGGAGCATTACAGAAGTTTCTAAGACCTTGTGAACGGTCGTGGCTGGTAAAAACTTAGGAATAATTACACGCTGAAAAAGTTTCTATTTTAAACTCTAATTTCAAATAATTCAGTACACTGTAATTTTCAAATTAGTATATTTACACAGTTACACTTCTCTAAAAAATAAATATGAAAGCATACATGAAACAAATTTAGAAAAATCAGCTAAATATTAAAAGGATGAAGACTAGAGATGCTACGGCCCAAACTAACAGTGAACAAATTGCAGGAAAAATCCTTCAGAGATCTGTCATCTTAGCACTAAGTAGTAACAACAAGTGGACAAGCAATTGAGGAAACACCATAACTGCCCTACAAATCATAAAGAAGTATGTTTCCAGTGCTGTCAAATATGTAACCTGGAGAGGCAGTCTGGAGGAGGCTGTTGCTCAAAAGATGTCAAATCATCCATTTTCTTTTAAACATTTTAGCTATAACCTTCAGTTCTAATGAATACTTGATTGGGATTTTAAATGACTGTAGAGTTTTAAAGAAAGAAAACGTTAAAAAAAATCATTTAATTGGTTAATAAAAAAAACGATATGCTGCAGATGCCTGCCTTTTGAACTGACTTCTTTAAAGGCCAAACACCAAGAAACTGCAATGGATTAATGTCAAAGAGAACTACTATTTTCTTTACCATAAGATTTCATCCTCATGTATAAACAGGAGAAAATCCTAACACTTCTGTACTGCTTGGGGAAAATCTCCATGAGAAAGCATTTTTTATTATTGAAACACTGTAATCCATACTTTTAATTCCTACCAGCTTGCCAGAAGCAGCATAAAAAACAGATTCATCACAAATATCTTCTGACAATATTCTAGACTTACTCTCAAAGGCTTAAACAGAAAGCTTTTTTCTTGCTGAGACTTAGGGTGACCACTCCCCTTTAAAAAGTTGATGGTTGAAACAATTCAGACAGCTTCATCACTTGAACTGTATTGTATTTGAGGTAAAAAATGTCTCTATTGAGGCCAAAGAAACACCCACCAATTTTATATTATTTTTGTTTTGTAAGATTCATGCGATTAAAAATTGCTTACAAAAACGCTCCCCAGTTAGTTCTCATGGAAAATATCTGTGGCATCAATGTTTAACAGAAGACACTTGAAAGCACCTGTTGTCACATCAATTTAAACTATATCACATTTTCACATGCGCTTTACCATTTTCAGGGCTGAAGTTTCATGCTTGGTTTCCAATTGCAGGGATTTTGCTCAGCTGTTTAAGATGACGATTTATACAGGAGGGCACAGAAGGGAGGACAAAATGAATTCTCTTCATGCCATATAAAAATGGATATTGTTGCCTTAGACAAAACTCCAGCTAGAATGGCTGATGTTTGAAATTACATATAGGCTGGGGGACATGTACCATTTTCAGTTTGAAAAAGATTTTTGTTACAAAAATAGCATTGAAAACCGTATGTTGCAAGTAGAGAATAGTAACCCTTTCCCTTCAGTCTAGAGATGCTTCCATGCATAAATAACTGTACGTGCCCACAGCTCATTAGGCATATACTTGAATTCAAACATCACTGATACTGCAGAATCAAATGCTTAGCCTTCAGAAAAACTGTTAAGGCTGTACTGGTAATATTAGTTTAGACTTGATATACAAGTGAAATATTTTTTATTCCACTTTTTCTTGGTATGGGCTTGGTCGTCACATACATCATAAGGGCACAGCTATAAGCCCAGAGGGAGCGCTGGGAAGGAACTGCAATTCAGTCATACCATATTTACCTGAATAAGATGACCGTCCCCCACATTATTAGATTCTATATATGGAAAAATTCTAAATTTGTTTTAATTTTCCAGGTATAGAATCTAATTATTGGAGGCCTGCTTTGAGTTTGTCTCCCTCCCAGGGCTACAGTAAGGAAAAGAAATCTAGGGGTTACGTAGCTCCTTTGTTCTCTACTTCCTCCCCACTTTTTCCCCGGGCAGCCCTTCCCCTTCTCTTTACAGTCCAACCCTCCTCTCCCTGAGTACATGGAAATGAAGAGCAAATTTGAAAACAATAACCTTGACATTAAACATGGCTGTAGCAATTTGCATATAGTTCCAATATACTTAGTTCATCCAGAATTGGTTACTTTTTTTTAGCAACTGCTGCAAGTTTTAGCACAGATACTCCATAAACACACTTTTGAGCAACACTTTGGCACATACGCATATGTAGTACAAACTATGTGTGATATTATCCCAAATCCAAAGGCTAGTGAATTCACTACACAGTTCATTGGGCTGGGCCCCATCCGTGTCAACAACATTTCAAGCCATGGTGACCTTATAGTTCAGCACTGGTTAGTATGTGTGTGCACTCCAAATACTCTCCACAAAGGAGCCGTGTGCTAATTAGCCCCCACTCCTGACTGGAACCAGGGCTAGGGACAGAAGTCATAGATTCATAGATTGTAAGGAGCTGAAACGGACCTTGTAGATCATCAGGTCCAGTCCCCTGCACTAGGCAGGAAAAGACAACTGGGGTCAAGTGACCCCAGTGAGGTGACTGTCCAGGCTCTTTCTGAAGATTTCCAAGGAAGGTGACTGCACCACCACCAGAGGGAGTTTAATTCCGGTCTGGACACCCTGATTATGAAGTTTTTCCTGGAGTTGAGCCTGAAATGGTCTTCCAGGAGTTTGTATCCATTGCTCCTGGTCTTCCCCAGGAGTTCTTGATGTAGAGGTACGCCGCTACCAAGTCCCCTCTCAGCCTTCTCTTCTGTAGGCTTGTCTTGCAAGTCTGTGATCATACGGGTGGCTCTTCTCTGGACCCTCTCAAGTTTTTCCACGTCCTTGTTCAAGTGCAGTGCCAAGAACTAGACACAGTACTCCAACTGCGGTCTCACCAGTGCGCAGTACAGAGAGTATCACTTCCCTAGTTTTGCACAAGATGCATCGGTTAATGCATGCCAGTGTGTTGTTTGCCCTGCTGGCCACAGCATTGCACTGCTGGCTCATGTTCATGCGACTGTCAGTTGCTACCCGTAGATCCCTTTCGGCCATGGTGAAAGTCAAATTGTTGCCACCAAGCCTGTAGGTATGTTGGGGATTGTCTGCCTCCAGATGGAGCACCTTACACTTCTGCATGTTGAACTTGATCTGGTTCTGGTCTGCCCAACTCTCCAGCCTGTCCAGGTCCACCTATATCTGCAACCTATGTTCTGGCATGACCACGCTCCCCCATAACTTGGCATTGTCCGCAAACTTGGCCAGCTAGCTTTTCACCTCCACATCCAAATCACTGATAAAGATATTGAAAAGCACCGGTACAAGCATGGACCCCTCAGGGACACCACTGATCTCTCCAGGACAACACAGATCCATTTATGAGAACTCTGTGGGTCCTACTATGCTGCCAGTTTTCCACCCACTGAACTGTTGAGCAGTTAAGCGCACAATCTTCCAGTTTTCCCACAAGGATATTGTGGGATACTAGATCAAAAGCCTTTTGGAGGTCTACGTATATAATGTCAACTTTCTCTCCCATGTCCAGGTGGTGAGACACCTGTTCATAAAAGGAGATGAGATCGTAAGACAAGACCTACCTGTGATGAAGCCATGCTGGCTGTCATTCAGAATCTTACCCTCAGTGAGCGTACCGCACATAGATTCTTTAATGAGTTTTTCCAGGATTTTCCCTGGGCTGGAGATTAGGTTGATTGGTCTATAGTTGCCCTGGTCCTCCCTCTTCCCCTTCTTGAAGATGGGTATAACGTTGGCCCTCTTCCAATCCTCAGGGATCTCCCTGTGTGTCACGATTTCTGAAAGAGCTCTGCCAAGGGGTCCACAATGACCTCAGCCAGCTCCATCAGCACTCTCAGGTGAAGTCCATCCAGTCCTGCTGACTTATAAAAGTCTAGCTTTTCTAGGTGGTTTTGCACCAGCTCAGTATCCACAGTGGGAAGGATATCATTCCCACCGTGCCCCCTGTGATCCTTATCTTGCTTATCTTTCCCCTTGGTCCGGTGAAATACCGAAGCAAAGTGGGCATTCAGGAGTTCAGCTGTCCCGAGGTGTTAATCAGGTGCCCCGCGCTTCCATTTGTTTTCCTTCTGCTCCCTACATACCTAAAGAAGGACTTCTAATTGTCTTGACTCCCATGGCTAACTTAAACTCAGTTGCCACCTTAGCTTTCCTAATCACTTCCCTACAAATGCGGACCACTGTTATACAGTCCTCTTTGACTGTCCCTAGCTTCCACTGTGTGTATGCCTCTTTTTTTCTTTTTCAAGAGGACCATAATGTCCCTATTGAGCCAGGAGGGCTTACCAGCCCTTCTGCTACCTTTCCTCTTCATGGGAATGGTTTTCTTTTGTGCTTCAAGGATCATGTCCTTGAGGAATGACTGCTCTTCGTGCACCCCATTCACCTTTTGCCCCTGGTCCTGCATTGATCCCCCTACTAATACCCTTAGCCTGTTGAAATCAGCATTTGTGAAGTTCAGGACTCCAGCCCTGCTAGTTGATTTGTCATCCTTGCGGCAGACAGTGAACCTGACGAGCTCATGGTCGCTGTCGCCCAGGCTACCCTCAATGTTCAAGCCACACACCATATCATCTCCTTTGGCCAAAACCAAGTCTGGGAAAGCAGTACCTCTGGTTGGTCCTTGCGCTTCCCAAGTCAGAAAGAGCTCCTTGATTACAGTTAAGAAGCTACATGACAAATCCGACCTAGCCAACTGTTCCTCCCAATCTATGTCTGGGTAACTGAAGTCGCCCATGAAGTCCATTGCATGCGCAGCCTCTGTCAGTTCTTGAGAGAACTCCAGATCAAGCTCCTCCCCTTGGTTTGGTGGCCTGTAGTAAGTGCGCACAGTTAGGTCTCTCTCACCTTGCCCCCCACCACCCAAAACTTGACCCAGAGGTTTTCAAGCTGCTTATCTTTGAAGCCAATGTCAGTCTCCAGAGAGGTGTACTGCTCCATCACAGAGAGCTACCCCTCTGCCTTTTCTCCCTGTGTGGTCCCTTCTGTGCAATTACACACAAGCCAGTTTAAGTGATCAAAAACTGGTTTAAACCTGTAACAGAACATAAATTCAGTGCACATAAAACCATTTCAAGATGGCAGAAACTAGTTTAAGATAAACCTGGTTGAATGTAATATCAGACTTAACTAATTCAGGTCAAATCTGTTTGTGAAACTTCTGTCCCAGACCCTTTCCTGGTTCAAGTTAAATCACAGTCCCCCATGCTTTTTGCAGGGTTGGCCCCACCCCTCTGCTCTGTAGCTGGAGCAGTGGCGGCTGTTGGACAAGTAGTCTGGACAAGTAGGGGGTGGGCGGGGAGAGCCAGGGAGACCGGGGGGGTGGGTACGGCAGGCCAGAGTGGAGGTTTCAACCTCTCCCCAGTCATTCTCAGTCTGCCAGGGCCTGGTCATATTCCTCAGCTCAGCTTCCCACCAGCCTGAAGAGAAGGGAGGGCTCGCTCTAGTGCCCCCCAGCTTCTAGCCTGAACCACTGCATGCACGTAGCTGCATTTCTGGAATCAAAAGTGAATGTTGGTTCAATCTACACAGGTTAGACTAACCTGCAAAGATTGAATGAACTCAGGCTCAAGCTTTTTGAATGCCTGTACTTAGCTCAGGTGTTCCTGTCACAAGCCCTGGGATGCTCCAAAAATTTATATGCAGATAAGACACAGGGCAACCTGGTTCAGCATGGCCATACTACTAATTATATACACCAGACTGAGAGGTTGTGACAGAGGGATTCTGTTTGGTGATATATGCCAGGCATTCAGAGAGTCAGCAGTGATGGTAACTGTGCTTAATGGGCACTAATATATGGCTTACTCAGAAGAGCTGTGCTAACCTATCCTTGTGGTAGTTTCCTATTAGCATCTCAGTCTTTCGGCTAAAATCAAGCCTTTTTGGCAACAAGAGGAGGGTATCAGGGTGTCAGCTCCAGCCCTTCCAGTGCCATCTTGGTTTTGCAGTACCTCCAGGCTTGGTGCCAGTTTCCCATGGAGGGAACACCTGCCCATTTTTTTTAAACACCAAAAAAAGTTCCCATCAGCATGTTTGGCCAATGTAGTCAATGTGTTTTATAGTCAAACTCAGTGTTGGCTGGATTTAGTCAGCTTCATAGCTGGTTTACATTGCTAAGCACATGCTGCTTTTGGCAGCAGTTTAATGATAGACAATGTATTTAGTGAGATTTCCTTGTATGCGATTATAAGACTAGAGGCTTTATTCCTCATGCCAATTGGGGGAGGGGAACCTCATTTTGTATTAAAATAAATATAGTAATTTCTCTGCTGCTCTCCACTTCTTCTGGTGGGAAAAGTAGATCATGCCATCCCATTCAGAGGTGCAACTTCTCTCCCCACCTCTCACCTGACCAGCTCTGCTAATGGCAGCTCTCCACCCATTTGCTTGTATGGCAGACACCTCTTCTTCTCCTGTGCTCAATTCAGGTAGCCTTAGACTAGCTGCACTGGATAGAGAAGAGCACCCCCCATGTCCCATTAATTCTCTGCATAGCTACTTAAGACATGGGACAACTGCATTCTATATTTATAACAATTATCTGTTGAGGCTTAAGTCTGTAATGAAATATACAGGGGAAATTAATATTTCAGGAGCTGATTTCAACTTTAATGCCTGTGACCACCATTTGATCTCATGACCTTACTACTGTATCTTTTCAAATACACATTTCTGTCATACATAAATTAATACTTTGCACCTGTAATTATTACAACTGCATCAAACTCAACCAGTCTGGGACAAGACCTCCTCTTTTTTTTTTTAAAATGGGCAATTCTTTTTCCTTATGTATCATACGAACTCCACTTCATTATCCAATTGCATTTATTATTTTCAATACAGTAGATCATTTTACATCATTTGCATACAAGCAACTTATATAAAAAAGTGCCACACATTTTACTTCAAAATAGGTAAAAATATTTTGAGAAACTTGTTGCTGTTGCCCAAAGGTGGACATAAGTGGGAGGAAGCAACAAGATAACAATTTAACAGTGTTCACTGAGGCCTACTTTGATTAGTACAAAGTGAATAAAGTAAGAATTTCACTGAGAATGTCAGTGATAATCAGGACAGGAAGTGCTCGATTACTGATGTGGCAAAGGCAGAAGAGAAAAAGACTGAGGAAAGTAATATCACAAGGTGTTTTTATTCAGAAAAAAGGAAAACATCCAGAAGAGTACTGAGACTGGGATCAGCCTTAGGTTCATAAAAAGCAAACCAGGAGAGTGGAAAGGCAAGGAAATTATAAGTGATAAAGTCAGCACCCACCATACTGACATACAAAGTACAGCAAAATATTCTGTCATAGATTAAGTTAGCTAAATTGAGATGGGTGGAAGAGAAAAATGGTGAAAAAGGAAATCTCAAGAGCAAATGAATCACCAGAAAAACATCTGCACTTCCAGAGAAGTAACAGTGGGTCTCAAACATCCTGAAGGATGGGCCTAGAATGCATCAAGGGAGTCTTACAGATGTTGTAACAGACACACAAACCAACATTTCCAACCAATAATAAAGTGGGCAATTGCAGTAGTTTAGCCCTTAAGGAGAGGTCCCGGATGATTGGAAAAGGGCAAATACAGTGCCCACCTTTAAGAAAGGGAAGAATGAGGATCCAGGGAACTACAGACCAGTCAGCCTCTCCTCAGTCCCAGAAAAAATCACGAAGCAGGTCCTCAAGGAATTCATTTCTAAGCATGTGGAGAAGGTGGTGATTAGGAACAGTCAGCATGGATTCACCAAGGGCAAGTCACGCCTAATCAACTGATTGCCTTCCATGATGACATGACTAACTCTGTGGATGCAGGGAGGGCAGTGGATGTGGTGTACCTTGACTTTAGCAGTGCTTTTGATACCGTCTCCCACAACATTCACGCAGGCAAGCTAAGGAAGAATGGGCTGGATCAATGGACTGTAAGTTGGATAGAAAACTGGCTGGAGCATCAGGCTCAGAGGGGCAGCTGGTGTAAGTGGAGTGCCCTGCGGCTGGTTTTGTTCAACGTCTTCATCAACAACCTGGAAGATGGCATAGAGTCAGCAGATGACACCAACCTTGGGGAAGAAGTAGATATGTTGGAGAGTACAGTTAAGATTCAGAGAGACCAAGACAGATTGGAATATTGGGCCAAAGGAAATCTCATGAGGTTCAAAAAAGTACAAGTTCAGAGTCCTGCACTTAGGACAGAACAATCCCATGCACCGGTATAGGCTGGGGGCTGACTGGCTATGCAGCAGCTCTACAGAAAAGGACCTGGGGGTTACAGTGAGCAAGAAGCTGAATATGAGCCAACAGTATGCCCTTGGTGCCAAGAAGGCTAATGGCATACTGGGCTGCATTGGTAGGAGTACTGCCAGCAGGGCAAGGAAAGTGATCATTTTCCTCTAATTCAGCACTCATGAAGCCATATCTGGAGTACTGTGTTCAGTTTTGGGCCCCCACTACAGAAAAGATGTGGACAAATTGTAGAGGCCAGCAAAGAGCAACAAAAATAGTGAGGGGGCTGTGGGACATAACTTATGAGGAGAGGCTGAGGGAACTGGGCTTATTTAGACTAGAGAAGAGAAGACTGAGAGCGATTTAATAACAGCCTTCAGCTACCTAAAGGGAGAGGGGGTTCAAAAGAAGATGGATCTAGACCAGGGGTCGGCAACCCCTGGCACGTGTGCCAAGCACGGCATGCAAGGCCATTTTGCTTGGCACGCCACGGCCGGCCCCAGCTCTGGGTAGCTGCTGCCAGTGACAGAGCCCAGGCTGCTCCCAGCAGGGCTTACAGTGTCCCAGATAACTGCTGGGAGCAGCCTGGGATCCCAGCTGGCAGCAGCTCCCCAGAGCCGGGGTCGGCTGCAGCCAGGAGACTCCAAATAGCTGTGTCGGGCTCCAGCATCAGCTCCGCACTGACACTTGCACCCACACGTCGGAGCGGGCGGTGAGTGAGGGGCCTGAGGCAGCGCAGCCCCGGTCTCTCCCCTGCTTCTGGCACAGAGGTGATGGAAGGCTTCCAGAGTCCGGCGCAGCTGTTTGGAGCCAGCCCAGGCTCTGGGCAGCTGCAGCAAGCAAGCAGGGGGCAGGCTGCAAACAACTGTGCCAGGCTCCACAGCTCTGGCATCAGCTCTGGGCTGGTGGCAACTGCACAGGCACCTCAGGCTGGGCTGCGCTGCCGTGCTGGCTACAAACAGCTGCACCAGGCTCCAGAAGCCTGCCATCACCTCTGTGCCAGGAGCTGCCTCAGTCAGGTCCCTCCCTAACCACCCGCTCCGACGCGCGGGTGCACACGCCGGTGCGGAGCTGATGCAGGAGCCCAGCACAGCTATTTGGAACCTCCTGGCTGCAGCCGGCCCTGGCTCTGGGGAGGTGCTGCCAGCTGGGATCCCAAGCTGCTCCCAGCAGGCAGCTGGGACACTGCAAGCCCTGCTGGGAGCAGCCCGAGCTCCAGCAACTACCTAGAGCCAGGGGATGACTGGGGGGCATGGGTGGCAGGGCTGTGGGGCAGGGGCTTTGGGTAGGGGGCAAGGAATACAAGCAGGGCATCCTGCCATGTACCCCTTGCTGTCATTTTGTTTTTCTGCCATGCTGGCACTCTGGCACCTTCCGAGGTAGGCACTGTGGTGTTTTTCAGCACTCCAGCCAAAAAACGTTGCCTACCCCTGCTACGGACAGTTCTCAATGGTCACAAATGAAAGAACAAGGAGCAATGGTCTCAAGTTGTAGCAAGGGAAGTTTGGGTTACATATTAGGAAGAATTTTCTCACTAGGAGGGTAGTAAAACATTGGGACAGGTTACCCAGAGAGATTGTGGACTCTCCATCCTTGGCGGTTTTTAAGGCCCAGCTAGACACAGCCTTGGCTGGGATGACCTAGTTGGGGATGGTTCCTGCTTTGAGCAGGGGGTTGGACTAGATGACCTCCTGAGGTCTTTTTCAACCCTAATTTTCTATGATTTTATAAACTGGAGAACCTGGATAATCAGGTATATTGAGGAGGAGTGCAGTTACTTTCCAACAGAAAGTATATTATATATGTAGTTGAGCTAGGCTGCAGGTTACAATTTTTCTAAAATGTGTGGGGTAAAAATAAATACATGCAGCTGAAGAAACTATATTTTAGAAAAAGCAGTTTCTACATATACTGGAAACAGTTTAACACTGATTCCATTAAAGTAACATTACTTAAAACCATATGCATTCATTTTTAAAGCTGTTCTGCTGCTTTAGAGGCAAAAAGGGTTCCCAAAATTATTCAAGTAACTATAACTGTAAATAGCAGCTACTCATTTAAATTGTCTTTAGAACATGAGGTAAGCTAAGCACACTAATGCTTTAAAATAAGATGTTAAAAGGGGACTGTTAAAAATAATCCACTCTGAAAAAAAAATCAGCAGATACACAGCTGAAATAATACGATCCTTAATGTGCACTCTTGCTCCTTATCTTGCTTTGTCCACTCACTGCTGGAGGCATCTTATTAACTAATACTTAAAACATTTGCTTTCCCAAATGTAGATAACAATTGCAATACTCTAGTATTTGGTTGTACGAGCCTGCATGGAATGGAATGTTAGAGACACTAACGAGGTTTCACAAAATCTATTCATTCTGGATAGAGCAAGATTTTAATTTATTTCTCTCTAAGGTATCTTAAATATTACTTGCTAAAAATATTCTTGAACACACCTATGCACTTGTTCTAATTTAAACCCTAACAAAGTAAGAATTTGGAGTTCTTAGACAAGCCTTTTGAAAATATCCAATGGCAGAGTCAACAGAAAACTTTCCCAAGTTGTACTTTTGAAGTCCCACAGTCAACCAACCTGATTTATCTCAAGACTACTCAGTATCCGTTTACTTTTCATATGCAGAATTTCAGGCAGAAAGTACTTTTCTATAGAAGTCAGAGGGATAGCAAGATTTACAACTGTATTTTTTAATATATAAAATGTCTAACTACCAAGTTGGTATGGCAGTTCCACAAAAAGCAGCTTGTTATCCTAAAAAGGGATCTGAATTCTATACAGTAATAAAAGACATTGAAAAAAAAAGAACGTCAGAAGTGGGTACAAAGGATAGAAAAATTAAGCAAACTTAATTTTGCTTACTCCCATAATGGGAGAAAGAATCGGAAAAATATAAATACAACTGCAACTGCAACATTCAATCTAGTAGTTTAATTTCCTCTCTGGTGCTTGCAGAAGTTGCATTTTAAAACCCGTGACAGGTACTACACAGGAATCAGTAATATTTCCGAGTGCCAAAACTAATGACATTATCAAAAATAATTCAGAGGCCCAGCAAGTCTAGTTCAGAAAATTAGTAAGTCAAGAAAAGGCCTTCACGGGCACTATTCTGGTTAATAGCATTTTTTCCTAAGGCCCCCAATGTTGCAAACTAAAGCAACAGTTCCACCATTATGTCTGAAGTCAATATTAAAAAAAAGACATGCCTTTGCCACATAACATGGAACTCTGAAACAGTCTATTGTTGTCCCTCCTCACATAAAACAGCAACAAAAACCCCT